GGGGGACCATTCATTCCAAACACAGTGGAGTGGAAAGGTTTGGGGTCTGTATACACCGGAGGCTGCTGTAAACCTAGCGCACTGCAGAAAATGTGAGTCGTTCCCCCTCTCCCCCCAGCACAGGCCATATAGCCAGGCCTCTGAATTCATGAGGCCTCTAGTCCCATGGGAGTAGCTTCTTCTGCAAGACCCTGGCACTTTTCAGAGAAATCACCTGAGCCTTACAGCAAGTTTGACAAGCCATTTTGCTCAGTCTCTACTAGACAAGGTCAAAGAGCCCATGTGCTTGGTGACAAGAACGCTAGACTTATCTTTCTCCAACAGCATCTGCCCCAGGGTTAGACCTAACTTCTCTGCAGATGAAGGAGAAGCTTATTTCATGTGTGTTCCTCACACAGGCTGGGAGGTGGTTTTGTGGAGGAGCTGCAGTGGTGGGAAGCAGCCAGGGCCTTGCTTCACTAAGGACTGGCTACCAGGGCCTCCTCTTTTGGGATCCACCTTAGGTGGCAGCATGGGTGTATTCTGACTGTAGTTAATGCAGGGGCCTGCGGTTGCTCATGTGAGCGCCCCTCTGCTGACAGATAAGCCTATTCTCTTTCTGCTCCTTAGCTTCATCACTCTTAAGGAAGAATTCTTATTTATTTATTTATGGGAGAATTCTTTTTTATTGAAAAAGAAAAGACCAACCAAACAAATCAAACTACCTTTTTTTTTTTTTTTTTTTGGTCAGTCATGGGGCTTAAACTCAGGGCCTGAGTGCTGTCCCTGAACTCTTTTGTTCAAGGCCAGCACTCTACCACTTTTAGCCACAGCTCCACTTCCCATTTTCTGGTGGTTAACTGGAGAGAAGAGGGTCATGGACTTTCCTGTCCAGGATGGCTTTGGACCATAATCCTCAGATCTCTGCCTCCTGAGTATCTAGGATTACAGGTGCACCTTCCTCTTTTTAATGAACTCATTTGCAGGTCCAAGTGATTAGCAGGCCCTGTAACATACCATAGAAAAATGGAAAGTCTTGTCAAGCTTCGTTTACAACAACCCTAGGCAGATTCATCATGTTCCTGTTGAGCAGTCTCACATGGCCTCAGCATTCTGTGCAGAGCCTTTATACATCAGTGGCTCCAGGAAGAAAGTTGTATCAGGGATGGTGTTTAAAATTGTATCGCTGGGCACTGGTGGCTTTGGTGATGTGGGGATCACAGTTCGAAGCCCTCACAGGCAGAAAGTCCCCATGAGACCCTACTTCCAATTAACCACTCAAAAAGTGGAAGCAGAGCTGTGGCTCAAAGTGGTAGAGCACTAGACCTGAGCAAAAGAGCTCAGGGACAGTGCCAGGCCTTGAGTTTAAGCCCCACAACTGACCCCCCCCCCAAAAAAAGTATTTAACTTCCCACACACCAGTGAGAGCAAGTTTATAGTGACTGATGCTGAGAGGTAGCTACCACTGATTGGCCTGCTCCCTCCCTGAGCTGCCATGGTCTTTATGTGACGCTGTTCATTTCCAAGCAGGACTAAGTACCAGTCCATTGGGGGTGGGATAGCACAGGGGCATGGATGCATACAGCTTCTGTGCCTCAGGAACCTGTACTCATGAGCTTGGAAGGAGCAGCGATCTAGGGAGAAACTTGTCTATTGGGATGTGTTGCCAGTGCTCAGGCATCAACCTTGGGGCTGCCTGTGGGCGTCTGCCTGTCCTAATGACCTGCAGGTGCGTGGCCCTTCAGCAGTGGCCAGTAGAAGAAAGCCCAGATGTTCTGGAGATCCTGAGAAGGGTGGATTTGCAGGAAGGGGGAGCTAGTCCCTCTTGGAGGGAGGGAGACCCTGCAGGTGCACCCCCCCCTCCCCCTGGCTGTAATGGAAGCCCAGTCATGGGGTCACATTCCCATCCCAAGGAGAGGAATTTTCCCATAGACTTACTCAGAAAGCAAATCCACCTCAATGCAGAGAGGTCAGCACAGACCCCATTTGCCAGAACATTTGAGGAATGCAACACCAAATGCGAGTATCCCCAAGCAGTCCTGCGTATTGTTGCTGTAATTCCCACTTGGGAGGCTGTGTTGGGGTTAGTAGTTCTCAACAAGTAAGCCATGTATTTAGCAGTTGCCAAACTCCAGGGCTCTTCTAATCACAGAAGCATGGAAGTTGCAGGCATACCAGACGAGACCAACGGGCCAGGTGGTATCATGGCCTGTTTTCTTGCAGTTCTTGGGTGCCAGGAAACAAACAGTTGATGTCCTTGAATCTATGAGATATAGTTGTACATAACTCTGATGGAGAAATACGAGACAAAAGTGTCCGTGTCCAACACTTTCATGGACATATATACACAATTTGAAGGTGAAGATGTCCTAAAATGTCTCTTCCTACTCATTGTGAGAATTGGCAATTTTTTTCTTTTCATGCCAGTCCCTGGGCTTAAACTCAGGGCCTGGGCATTGTCCCTGAGCTTTTGTGATCCAGGCTGGTTATCTACCACTTGAATCACAGCTCCACTTCTGGCTTTTTGGTGGTGAACTGGAGATAAGAGTCTCACAAACTTTCCTGACTGGGCTGGCTTTAAACCATGATCCTCAGATCCCAGCCTCCTGAGTTGCTGGGATTACAGGTGTGAGCCACCAGTGCCTGTCAGGAATTGGCATTTCTTGAGTGCTTGCCTATTAGGTAGGGTAGAGAGGTATTAATGAAAATACCTGAATTTGTACTATATTCTTCTGGCCTGCTCAATTTTCTAAGCATTGCAAGGAAAGAAAAGACTGAGATACAAGTCTGTCTTCTAGAACGCTCCTTTGAAGGACAGGAAGTGGCATTGGTGGCTGGCAAAGAGGAGACAACCAGGAAAGGTACTGTTCCTTTAGTGATGGTGAGAATTTCCATTTCAGTTTCTACTGCAGTAGAAGGTGGCCAGAATGCAGAAGCTGAGAGGAGGGAGGGAGGGCCGGCTATGGGAAGAGAAGCTTTTGGTAGTTTGGGCCAAGGTTCAGCGTGTGAAGTAGATAGATCATGCGCACGATTCCCGGGGGTTGGAGAAGAGTTGATGAGGTGCTGGATCCAGTATCTCTCTGTGGAGTACCAGATGGCTAGTTGGGCATGGCAAAGGTGCTTGGTGATTAGAACCGCAGACCTGACAAACTCCCAGCACGTGGGCTTCCTCTTTTCAACCTAATGCTGGATGTACTTTACATCCAAAATCCAGTGAGTTACAACTGTCAGACTTTTACAAAGACTCCATCGTTACCAATTAGCTACTCTTTATTTCATCTACCAACAGCTGTAGCTGCCCTTGGAGCCTTTGCTAGGTTTGCTTGTTGTGACCTCCAGGGCTACAGGAGCAGCATGATGCAGGACCTCTGGAGTGGCTTTGGAGTAGAGGCCTGTGCTGGAATCCCAGCTCTGCCACCCACCAGCTGTGAGGCCTGGCACCTTGGCAGTGATCTGTGTGACAGCACAATCACAGCCTTCCTGGATTGGGAGCCCACATGAAACCTGTGACTGTGCAGAATAGTCTTTATCAGAGATTATTCTCTATGCCTCCGGGAGCTTTCTATATAGAACTATGACAACCAGGGCTCTGAGTGACACCCCTAGAGCCTCATCAGGTATCACTTCCATTGACAGCAGCCTTGCTCTAGAGTTGCCTTCAGTTTGGTGGGAGAGGTCAGACCCAGACCCTGCCCCACAGCCACACCCAGTGTGGTGATCACTTAGCCACATCTATCCGTAGGGGCCCAGGAAGCAGTCAGCCACTTGGAAAGCGATGAGGAGTGCACCCCCAACCCCGCCCCCACAGAAGGCCAGTTAATGTTAACACTGATCAAGCTGTGAAAATTATCCTAATAATTCATTTTCTAACAAGAACCTGTAATCCATATAGGAGTCATGTTAGGTTGTCATGTTTCTTTAGTCTCCTTTAATCTGGCTTGTTTTTGTTCTTAATGTCCTGTAGTGTGGCTTGGTAGGTGGGCCCTGGCAGCTTTCAATACCAGTTACCCCAGCGCCTGGGGTTGGATTCTAGAGCTTAGCTCTGGACTGCCCCAGTGGCTCAGAGCAGACCAGGAACCACAGTGGGCATGGAAAAAGGCTACCACTGATGCTTTTCACTTAGCCTTGGACAGCTCTTCTGGAAAAGAAATCATGGACAAAGAACAGCCATGCAGTTGAGTAGAAAACAGGCCAGACCTCCTCTGGAAAAGGTATCTCAGCTACTACTATCTTATCAAGTTTTGTCCTCTGTGTAATTTTTCTTTTCAGGAAAAGGATTTGAACTCAGGGCCTTACACTTACTAGGCAAGTACTGTACCACTTGAGCCATGCCTCCAGTCCCTTTCTGCTTAGTTATTTTTTAGATAGGGCCTATGTTTTGGTGTAGGCCAGCCTCAGACTACAAATCCCATGCTTCCTGCATAGCTGGAATTAAAATTACAAGCTACTATGTCTGGCTTGCTGAACAACTAACTTTGTGCCAGGGCTGGCCTCAAGTAATGATCAGCTTGATCTCAGCCTCCCAAGTAGTTGGCATTAAAGGCATGAGCCATTGCACTTAGCTCTTAAGTGTAATGTGCGCGCGTGCATGCGTGCGCACGTGTGTGTGTGTGTGTGTGTGTGTGGGTGTCTTTGCTGGTACCATGACGTGAACTCAGGGCCTTAAGCCTTTGCTTGGCTTTCTTGCTCATTGCTAGTGGATGCTCCACTTGAGTCACACCTTGAGCCAAATCTCCAGTTTGGCTGGTTAACTGGAGATAGAGTCTCCTAGACTTTTCTCCCTAGGCTGGCCTTTGACCCTCAATCATGCAGGTCTCAGCCTCCTGAGTAACTAGGATTACAGGTATGAGCCATCAGCACCTGGGTTTCCTTAGTGTAATTCTTAATGAGAAACAATGAATTTTGGTCTTCTAAAATCTGATTCTTCCTTGTTTAAAAGAAGCAGTGAGAAAGTGGGTTTTCTAATAACAGTGACTCAGATAAATTGCTCACAATACACAGAGATTGGGCCAGACACTAAGTACTGATAAAACATTTATTTTGAAAATTAATAAAGTGTTTAGATGAGGAAAGGGAATTAGGGGCCAGAATCTCTTCAGTTCTCAGGAACAAAAGATACAATTTCATAAAGCAGACCTTGGAAATAGAGAGTAATGCCAACTAACCTGTCAAAGAACAGCAGTGGATATGACTCTTGTTTGTGGGAGATTGAACAATACTTGTTTATGTGCATCAGTTTCATGCTATCAAGCCTCTTGTGTATGCAAGCCTCTCAGACGTGAGTCCCAGCTTCCAATGTCAGCTTCCCTGGCCTCCCATAAGGATACCAAGAAGGACTCAGGCAGCTCTGGAGCTGTGGCCTGAGTACCTCGTGACTCTTTCCCTGGGACAAGAGCACTTCTGATCTCAGGTGTGGTTTCTTCCTTCTGAGAAGCCAGTTCCTTTGACATGAAGCATGCTGAAGCCTGGGGGACAGCATATCGCCAGGGCGGAATGGTTCATCAGGGGGCTTTTGGTTTGGAAGGAAGGAATGAGGAAGCATGAGAGCTTTTCCTTTGGGAGGAAATGGAATGTTTCTGACTGATCATCAACTGTCACTGCGCACTGCAGCTGATGGGATTTGCTGGCCCAGAAAGTCTCAGTATTGAGTCAGTTTAGGGAGGCAGCACTACTGTTGGCCCTTCCCTAGCCAGAGAGAGGCTTCTTCTCTACTACACTTAATGTGTCCAGGAAGGGCGAATTCACAAAATTTAATAGCTAATACTTGGATTCATTAGCGAAATGATTTCTAACAAAGTTAATGCAAATGGAGAACCAATTTACATGACTAACTCAGCAATTTATAACATCTATCAGGAAGTTACTAAGACATTTTCAGAAGTAGGTAAGAACATCAGCATTAATGACTAGGATAGTAAGTACTTGGCTTGTGTCTGGTCTTCAATTGAGCGTTACTGCAAGAATCACAGACACAGCAACTGCATGGCTGGCCATGTAAGTCTGATTCTGGACAGCCCCATGCCTCCTTGCTTGGCTCAGGAGGGTCATGGAGGGTTAAGGCTAAGCCTGGAGCCTGCTTATTGGTTGCCCTGCAGCAGGAGGCAGAGTTGGGATCCAGCATTGGTTAGTTGACCAGAGTAATGTCTGCCAAATGTCTGGCAAACTTGACTATCGGTCAAATCAGGAAAAGCATGAAGTCAAACAAGGATTATACACCATTAGTCTGGGCTAATTTTCATCTTCTGTCTTTAAAGGAAACCCAAGTCCACTTCCTGCTATGGGAACAGAAGTATGCCCTTGTCATGATCCCATGCCCTTCACATATCAGACTGTGCACTTCAGATCCACTCATCTCTTTTCCATTTGCTAGTAGGCATTTCAAGGTTTCTTCCAGGAGAGTCTATTCTGCAAGGAAGCTCAAAGCCACCTATATTTAGCTTTTTCCTTCAAGGATCCTGCTGGCCCCAATCCACTATATTGTGCCACTGGCTATCTTGTGCAAAGGAAGTCATTTAAATGACTGTGTGTGCTCCCTGATTGATTTTAAGCCAAGTGGTGCTCACATGTTCCTTTTCTAATATCAAACATTAAAATCAAACATTTACATCTTAAGCATAGGACACCTACTGTTTCACATACTGCCCATAGATGTTCATTTCTGCGTCAGTTTTTATATTTTGGACAGATTATCCTTTAGCCAGTCAGCAACTATGACAGCTATTTCCTGGCTGAAATCGAGGTTGAAAGCGTGAGGTATATTTTTCTCACAGAGTCGAATATCTCCTTCTGGAAAATCTTTCTTGATGTCTTCATAGTATTTTACTGGACACCAACCATCCACTGTGCCATAGTAGAATGTAAGCTGAAAGACAAGGCAAGAACATCCCATTAGGCCACGCCTTCCCTCCTGGCACAGGGATGGTACCAGTGGACTGCAGTGCTTTGAAGGCAGCATCTATGTCTGGCTCCATCTGCCCACCCCAAGGCTCCCTCCAGAGTGTGGCTCTCTTGAGGTGGCAGGCCTTGTGGGTCCACGTTCATTATATTACAGTGCATTCCTTATAAGATCTGATGGAAAGAAATCCATGTAGGGAGACTGCTGTGTGAACTGGTGTGAAGGCAATGAAGGTTCATTTGATAATAAACAATGGTTTTCACACAGACATATGGATCCCATTCGTTGATGGAATACAAAGAAAAATCAAGAGAAGGTAGGGGAAAAACAAAGGAGGAGGTAACAATGCTGGATAGGAAATGTACTCATTACCTTGCTCATGTAACTGTAACCCTTCTGTACAGTATTTTTACAATAAAAATGTATATAAAAAAAGAAAAATCAGACTGATTCAGAGTTTTCAATGTAGCCGATAAAATGTGAGGTTTCTAAGAAAATGCTCCAAGTAACAGGGAAGTGTGTTGAATTCAGTGGAGAGGCTTTGTAAACATACGTCAGATGATTGTGTGCAGGCTGGATGGAGACAAGACTCTCCTTTGAGGCATTACTGAGATCCTTACTAGAGACATATCTATATCTGCATGAACTATAGAGATAGATACAAGTACCACAGAGATGTCACATATACTCTACTAGGCTGTTGTGTGTCACTGAATAACTGCTATATATTCTGCATCTGTTTAAAAGAGGCAACAAAAGTTAAATGTTATATCCAGAAGGCACACAGTAGTGTGTGTGTGTGTATATATATATATATATATATTATTTTTTTACAAAAAATAAAAACTAAAGCTTAAGACCCTTATGACATGTCATCACTGAAGAAAAATTCATGACCAGTTCTGGCCCCTAAGTGGTCAAACAAAGCCACTTATAGCTTCCATAATCTGCCAAATTGGCTTACTCACTCAAATAATCACTTATTCAGTAATTTGTTTAGCAAATAAGGACTTCCTCTGTAGTGCAGCCTGGGAGACAGATAATAAACTTACAAGGCTAGGGATGCCTGGGGGAAGCAACAGGCAAGATGGAGTCCTCAGACAGTTAGCTGATGCCTGAGTAGAATCTTCAAGCTTGGGTGCACACTGTGGGGGCAGACTAAGGAAACCACAAGCATACAAGAGCATGGTGATGCTGCGAGATTAGAATGAATAGAGCACAGCTGGACTATCTGGTGGTAGGAGACAAGCCTAGGGGGGCAGAGTGTGATCAGGTCATGACAACTTTCCATGTGCACCAAGAAGGGCACAGAGGAGTCCACAAAAACTGTCCCAATGAAGGGACATGATCAGGTGTGCCTGTACGAGTCAATCTGGCTACGTGGGGAGAACAGAGGGGAACCAGTGTAGGGGATGAAGGGATGGGAAATACACGGCCAGTGGATTGTTTTACATTAAATCAATCATGTGAATAAGGGAGTAAGTGGGACTACTCTTATAAAAACACTGATCTTTATTACAATGACATTTGACGTGAACAATAGCTAGAGACTCAGGGAGTCAACTATTAACAACTAAACCTGAATGGCATATAGACTAAATCACTTCACTGATTTTTCTGGTTGTCACCTAATATATTCTTTCATTTTCCTATTTTGCTCATTCCAAAGTCCCTAAAACCCCAGTTCTTTTTGTCCTGGCTCTTAGCAGGGGAAGAACTATTTTTGCTTAGCAATTGTCTGGTTCTTCCTTCTGGTCTCAGCTCTTTGGATAGCTGTAAAATAACTTGTTCCCCAGTTCTGACTGTGACCTCACCACCAATGGTATCTATTCTAGCTAGTCATGGGGAGCAACCACTCTGCTCCAGCTTCCCTCTAAATAAACTGCTGCAAGCACAAGTGATCTGCAGGCATCAGTTAAACTACCAATAGGGTGAGTGATAACTTTAGGTTCTCCCTAAACCACCGCCTGCACTTAACCACCAGGAATCCATAAAACTACTCACACAAGGGCACATGTGGCAGTTGCTCTGCACGATGAGTCAGTACTTACACAGAACATGAACTAGCATTGAGAAATCTAGAAGTTCAGACTTGGGTCATCACCTACAGGTCTGCTGCTCTGTTCTAACGCATGCTTCTTATGGGCACTGCAGAGGCCATTTTGCCTTCCCTCTCCCGTGGTCAGTACATGCCACGGTGGTAAGTCTTGAGAAAACTAGTGTTAGTCAGAGAAGCAAGGCAGCAAATACCCTCACAAAGTCACCTGGACAAGGTCATCACTGTCCGTCTGCACTTGCTGTTGCTCTCTGCAGCACATTTCAAGAACAGTTTTGAAGAACTTAACATGTCCTTGTCAGAGAAGCATTTCTAATGAGAAGCCCAGCTTGATGAGCCCCTCACACTGGCAAACTCCATCCCTTTCTTTACATGTGAAGTTATTACAGCTGAATCAACATGGAACTCTGTACTGACCTTAGGGTGTCAAGAGGAAAATCGTGTCCCAGCAATTACAGGCACAAAGTGCCCATGCATGTACTAGGAACTTAACAAAAAGTGGTATTAGTGGTGTAAGACAGCATAGCATAACAGCAAAGATTCTCAAATTTCCTTATGCTCATCTGAGTTTACTTTTTAATTCTTCATTGTAACTGCTTACAATGGGCTTCCTGAATTGATGGTAGGGCCAAGCTCTTTTGAGCTTTCTTTTGCTTAGTTTTAAAAGTTCCTCTTACTCTATACACACTGATGGCCTCTCTTAAAGTTTTTGGCTTCCAAGTAAAACATATGGCTATCTAATGGTTTTATAAACACTAGCTTGAGCTACTTCCTGTTCCATATAGATTATAAATTACAGGCAATAGATATGACCAGAGGTTACCTGCAACCTTAAACAGGAAAATGAAAAGATATGGGCTGTGCGAAGGTAGTGGTGGGGGATGGAAGAGGACAGGTGAAGTAGAAAGGAAGATGACTAACTGGACACCAAAACACAGTGGTTAAGTGTGCATGTTACCATACTGGCATATAAAAGAAGCTGCAATGGGTTATGGTGAACTGTAGGAAGTGAGAATGCTATGTAGGTTCTGTGCTACTGGCATTCAAACTGCTCTCTCAGTGATCCTTGTAACAATATTCGTAGGGATGGTTTTTGTCCCTATTTTTCAGAACAGGCTTAGTGTAAGCAATGAGTAAGTTGTAAACCTGGGTTATAAAACCCAAAGGCAGTGGGATGCTAGTGGCTCATGCATACCTGAAATCCTAGCTACTCAGGAGGCTGAGATCTGAGGATCACAGTTCAAAGCCAGCCCAGGCAGGAAAAGTCCGTGAGACTCTCATCTCCAATTCACTACCAGAAAACCAAAAGTGGCACTGTGGCTCCAAATGGTAGAATACTAGCCTTGAGCAAAAGACCTTAGGGATACTATGTAGGCCCTGAGTTCAAGCCCCATGACTGAAAAAAAAAATCCAAGGGTAACATCTCTATTTAGTGGTTACTACTATACCACTTATACCCAACAATGAACAATGTTACCAAAACACAAAACTGGAAGAATGGACTGTATGTAGAAACTAACAACACTTCAGTAATTGTCAACAAGAATAAACCCAACTTCCTTCATTTAAAGCTGTCTCCAACTTTATATTCTACCTAGACATCTCATGCCACAGAAATGATAACTACTCTGAAAATATTAGAATTGTTACCTAAGAATTTCAGGCTATCAACAGGATATTTATATTCAGAGATTTTGAAGAAAACATGAGAAAAGAGAACTGATTAAAAAGTTCATATTACTGAGATGGAAAATTTTGTTTCCAAATTGTTGTCATGCTAAGTAATCCATTTTTCTATTAAACACACAGTTTACTTTTCTCAGTTCTTCTAGATATTGATTTACCTAGGTTGCCCCTTGGCTTTTCCTTTTGTGTTTTCTACAGAAAGGTGGATCATAATCTCTCTGTATTTTCCTTTAACATGTTCCTCCTAAATGTTTCTAAATTGCTGCAGCTTGTCTCCACATAGAAGCCAATTGTCTTTACTCAAGTGTTTCTCACCCTGGGTGTGTGTGTGTGTGTGTGTGTGTGTGTGTGTGTGCACCCTGGGTGTGTGTGTGTGTGTGTGCAC